GAGATTGTTATGCCAAAGAGATTGTTATGCCAAAGAGATTGTTACACCAAAGAGATTGTTATGCCAAAGAGATTGTTATGCCAAAGAGATTGTTATGCCAAAGAGATTGTTATGCCAAAGAGATTGTTACACCAAAGAGATTGTTATGCCAACAAGATTATTATGCCAAAGAGATTGTTACACCAAAGAGATTGTTATGCCAAAGAGATTGTTATGCCAAAGAGATTGTTATGCCAAAGAGATTGTTATGCCAAAGAGATTGTTATGCCAAAGAGATTGTTACACCAAAGAGATTGTTACACCAAAGAGATTGTTACACCAAAGAGATTGTTATGCCAAAGAGATTGTTATGCCAAAGAGATTGTTATGCCAAAGAGATTGTTATGCCAAAGAGATTGTTATGCCAAAGAGATTGTTACGCCAAAGAGATTGTTACGCCAAAGAGATTGTTACGCCAAAGAGATTGTTACGCCAAAGAGATTATTACACCAAAGAGATTGTTACACCAAAGAGATTGTTACGCCAAAGAGATTGTTACGCCAAAGAGATTGTTATGCCAACAAGATTATTATGCCAAAGAGATTGTTATGCCAAAGAGATTGTTACACCAAAGAGATTGTTACGCCAAAGAGATTGTTACACCCAAGAGATTGTTACGCCAAAGAGATTGTTATGCCAAAGAGATTGTTATGCCAAAGAGATTATTACACCAAAGAGATTGTTACGCCAAAGAGATTGTTACACCCAAGAGATTGTTACGCCAAAGAGATTGTTACACCAAAGAGATTGTTACGCCAAAGAGATTGTTATGCCAACAAGATTATTATGCCAAAGAGATTGTTACGCCAAAGAGATTGTTACACCAAAGAGATTGTTACACCAAAGAGATTGTTACGCCAAAGAGATTGTTACGCCAAAGAGATTGTTATGCCAAAGAGATTGTTATGCCAAAGAGATTGTTACACCCAAGAGATTGTTACACCCAAGAGATTGTTATGCCAAAGAGATTGTTACGCCAAAGAGATTGTTACACCCAAGAGATTGTTATGCCAAAGAGATTATTACACCAAAGAGATTGTTACACCAAAGAGATTGTTACACCAAAGAGATTGTTACGCCAAAGAGATTGTTATGCCAAAGAGATTGTTACACCAAAGAGATTGTTACGCCAAAGAGATTGTTACGCCAAAGAGATTGTTACACCAAAGAGATTGTTACGCCAAAGAGATTGTTACACCCAAGAGATTGTTACACCAAAGAGATTATTACACCCAAGAGATTGTTACACCAAAGAGATTATTACACCAAAGAGATTGTTATGCCAAAGAGATTATTACACCAAAGAGATTATTACACCAAAGAGATTGTTACACCAAAGAGATTGTTACACCAAAGAGATTGTTACACCAAAGAGATTGTTATGCCAAAGAGATTGTTATGCCAAAGAGATTGTTACACCCAAGAGATTGTTACACCAAAGAGATTGTTACACCAAAGAGATTGTTACACCAAAGAGATTGTTATGCCAAAGAGATTGTTACGCCAAAGAGATTGTTATGCCAACAAGATTATTACACCAAAGAGATTGTTATGCCAACAAGATTATTATGCCAAAGAGATTGTTACACCAAAGAGATTGTTATGCCAACAAGATTATTATGCCAAAGAGATTGTTACACCAAAGAGATTGTTACACCAAAGAGATTATTACACCAAAGAGATTGTTACACCAAAGAGATTGTTATGCAAACGAGATTATTACACCAAAGAGATTGTTATGCCAAGGAGATTGTTATGCCAAGGAGATTGTTTTTGGTTGCTACAGAAGACTTCTTGATCATTTTCAATAAACAGCTTAACTAGTAGTCAAGTCTTGGATTGTTTTTTGTATAGACCTATATTTATCAGTCTATACGTACTAACTTTCATTTTATAAGTCTGTATGTATGTCCGCAGCATTGCTTTCATTTAAGCTAAGGTAAGGAAATGTAATGTCTACAGTGGTCATATGAAAGTAATGGGCAGTGTGCCTGCAACCCCTTAATTACATAATTATCTCCCTTTATTAAGTTTTTGTGTCCAATAAAGTCGTTTTCAGGGATCATTTATCAGTTTCACTGATACTCTTGTTTAATTTCATGTGTAAGGTGTTTCATCAAAACAGCTGTAATGGCTCCTATTCTTACTTGTGTGCTATTTCCAGGAAAAGACAAGCCTGCCATTGTTCCTTCTCTCCTGGCTTCCCAACTGTTCCCTCTCCCACTCATAACAAATACAGTTCTGATCTTGTTTCCATGCATACATGTATATTGTTTATAGAAAAATCAATGGTAGCTAGTTATTATGATATGATATTTAATGAAAGAATTGATCTAGTGAAAAAAAGGCTAAAATACCAGATATTCAACAGAATTTTATTCTTCCTGTGTTTGTTTGTTAACTCAGTTTTCATTATTGTTAATGTAACCCTGGTAAGATACTAGCCGCAATATACCCCTCTGCTAGAGAGAACTTCTCTTTAGCTCGAGTGGTTGAGCGTGAGACTAGTGAGCCAGGGGTCCCGGGTTCGATTCCTAGCGGAGGCATTGAGATGGAAAATGACCTTTGTTACATTGGCGCCCAGGTAGGGACCCGGGAATAATACTTAGTCATGCCCCACCAGCATCGCTGTAACCCCTGGAAACTCGAGGACAATAATGAAAACTGAGTTGTGCCAGTGTGATGTCATCTTGAACAATGGCTTTACATGGTAAATCATAAATGATGTAACAAATGGGTGTGTCTGTTCCAATTTGTCCTCCACAGTTTTACTTTAAATTTATCATTTCAGAGTTATGTGATAGAATAACATTTTAGACATGTTATATTATGATAAAGCAGATTTGATAAAACTCATGAAGCTTTAATGGTCAAGGCTGTCAAAAATATACACTTCTACGGCTCGTTTAAAAAATCTCATTCACAATGTGATTTTAATTGAAATTTTGGAAATCAGTACTGATTACAGACAAGTGATAAAAAGATCGCTATAAAGAAAATATATAAAAAATTATTGTAATTATCAGCTCAACCTTCAATAAGATGTGTGATGTATCACATTTATGAAGCATTATAAGATATGTGTTTTAAAGTGAATATAAATTAAAGATATCTTCATGTCCATTTTGCAGGGAAAAAAGTCATCTTTAAGCTTTTGGTGTGTTTGTAGGTTTGATTGGTTTATCACAAAGTCAACAGACAGGGTCAATTTGATTTGGGGGTTCTACTGTAATAACTGTTTTTTGCCTCACTGAACAACATACAGGAGGCACAACACCAGAGCTATTTCGATATAGTGCCTTATTGCCCAAGGACACAACCACGCCAATACAGACAGGTAAGGGAAACAAAAATGTCCTGTGTGAGGTTCTTCAGGCCATGCATGTCACATCTTTACCCTGAGGTTTCCAAGTCAGATGTTCTGCTGAGCTATTGTGACCTCTTTGTGACTCGGAAACAATGTCTGTAGTTAAATATATATAACAATGTCTAATTAAGGTATTGTCATTTGAATTTCAAAGATCAAAAATTGGAAAAGAACTACATGCTTACTTGACTGGAGTGCAGTTGAAAAGTTGACTAGTGTTAGCATAACGTATGTTATCAGTAGAAGCATTGTGTCGTCAAGTTCTTCAACTGAACAAAAACAAGTGATTTTTGTAAAAAAAAAAAAAAAAAAAGTGATGCAAGTTATTTTATCATGAAACCGATATGAAATGATGCAAATCAACCTGTTTTTGGTAACATGAAGTACAATGTAATTAAGGGAGACCAATGCATTTTTTGATAAAATTCATTTCATAGTTGTTGATAGAAATGACTTAATTTTTTCTCCAGAGGTTTTCAGTGAAACATTTCAAACTTTTAAATTATGAGAAGAGTTTGGAGGACATACGTTATAGTCTATTAATACTTGTTTGAAATTGTTGTATAACAGATCTTGAATCAATCCAATATACAGATTACCAGCAATAACAGCTTTAACTAATGGTCCAGTGCTGCGGTGTGAAAATATGGAGTTTGGTACAGTAGAACTGAGGATCAACATTAGTCCGTGTTACTTCACTGAATGCGAGTAATATATAAAAACAAACAAAACTTAACAGACAACAAAATTAAATTCAGATCACAAATAGAATTGTAAGTAAAGTCTGTAATCTTATATCCACACAATTTTAAATCAGGATATGTTAATTAAAAGGGCATAACTCCAAAAATAATCATCAAAAAGTATCTTAACTAGCCACCGATCTTAAAAGAAGGATACATCACCTAAGGGGTGTAACTCCCAGGAAAAACCATCAAAAGAAGTTCATTTTCCAATGATTAAAAACTTTGACAAAGAATTTCATTAAAGACAGTAAATTTCCAAAACAAAAAAAGAAAAACATCAAAGAAATAGTAGTCCATCATTTAAGATTAGTCAAGAGAAAACATTTTTTTTAATTTGGTCAATTTTCTATGTACAGACATATATACAGGCTTCAAATTACAGTCCAATTCTAAAATTATATTCTAACATTAATTTTAGTATACCATAAATTTAAAAGAACATTTCTTCAAGTGAACTTAAAAATATATGTATAAATGAAGTAGATATCTGGATATTTACCTGTCCTCTCACCTGTGTATTTGTACAACTGTTGAATCACAGTCAGGGTTGAGTGAAGTGGTAGGTAACAACAGTGTCGCCTGTCCCCTTATCTAAAACTTTTGGTTGATACCATGTGTTGCTTGTGTTATTAATCAGTGTTACTGCACATTATGCACCAATTACTAGTGCAAAACATCACATCCCTAACATCTCCCAGAAATAATATGTATCAATTTTAATTAAAGTTAATTAACAAAATTAATTGGCAGTTTGTGAACATTTTGCCATGTGACAGCTGCACAGTTACAACTATGACAACACTGATATCATAGATGAAGACAAGTAGAAAATAAATAATAAACACAAATTTCAAATAGAAATATTTATTTACAAAAACAAGTAAAACGATAAGGTAAATATAGGAAATTTCAATCACAGTTACTCTCTTCAAGCAATAGACTCTCTTGATGTGACATTCATAGTTATATAACAGCCACAAGTGTAAATCACAGCTAAACACAATAGTTGAGTGGGTCATATTCATACATCAAAATGTCATACAAAATGGTGATAGATAAATATATATAAGATTGTGGTAAATATGTATATAACTGGACACATGTGACCTTTTTCCTGCATGTATATAATAATTTAATATTTCATATTGATTATAATCACATAGAGGTAGCAGATTTGAAATATTTAGTCAGAATAACTATTTTCAGAGCAATGAGTTATCTTTTCAGTACATTTTTTTATCTTTTTAATATCTTGTGTTACACCTTGTTTGATAAACTTTCTTTAATATATCTGTTGTGAATATTCATACATCTATATGGTGACATAGATCTCAGCTTTTCCCAACTTGTGTTTATATTTCTTTCTTGGGTTCACATAACTAAACATCCACCTCAGTGGAGGTCCATAACTGATAAATATCCATCTAAGGTACAGGATAAAGCTGCCTAAATCATTTGATCATCGTACAACATTGTGTAATTTTACTGGTTCTACAGTAATTAGTTTACCATGATAATACAATGTCTGATCTGGTAAAATCATATGAAGATAATAACAAAACAATGAATCCGTAACAACCGAACAGTTAATGATAGGTCTGGAATTGGTAGAAAATGGACGTGTTAAACACATGTTATTTTTCAAAATTCAAAATTTTAATGCACTTGACAAATAAATCTTTTCACACTGAGAAATATTATCTACCACGAAGCAAATATTACACAAACAAAGTACTAATTTTGATCTTGTCAATTGATTACAATAAGATTAAAGTCGCAGAAGTAAGAATAGTGAAAAAACAATATAAACCTGTATTACACAACTATTATAAATAGAATTACAATTTTTTTTTTTTATATAATTGTTTTTTCTGCTCAAGCCATATTTTGCACATTTCATTATAACTAGGCTAAAGGCACTAACAACTCTGCAATATGACACATGTGATTATTCACTTCACTTCCAAACTTCCAACCAGTAGTATCTAATACCTGGTCAAAGCTACTCAAAATCAAGACTGACAGGGTGTTTTAAAGGGATCAACAAGGAAAAAGACCCTATAATTAATTTTATTATAAATAGTTATCAAATCTTCATATATTTAGATGATATCCTGTGTTTTGTTTGAACCTAACATTGACAATATTTGATCCAAAAATTGATATTGAAATGGTTAAAACAACAGATCACATATAAAGAAATAGCAAGTGGTTCTAGAACTTTTCAAAATTTGAGTTGGTCATGATATGGCTATGTATATCAGGTTGACCAGATGAAATCAGGTGAGTTGGCAAAACTGATAATTTATTCAACAATGGTTAATCATTCATACACATGAATTGTTTTCCAATAAATTATGAAGCTTTATTCTCTAAAAGCCTGCAACGTGACATGTCTCTGACAAATTGACTTTGAGGAGTGAATGGACACTTACATCTGTCACATGCATCTAAATGCTTTTTACATAAATCCATGTCTAGATATTTCAAGCACAGCTGTGACTTCACATTGTTGATGAAATCTATAGGAGGCATCATACAATACAAAGTCTCAAAACAGTGAAATGATGTAAAGCTAAAATCAGAAGAAAAAGTTCCTTGTACACCAAATATACAAACATTCCAGCATTATCTGCCGGACTTATGTAGGTTACCTTCTTTCATGCATATTTTATTAAATGCAAGGTTTTAGCTTACAATAGTAGCCATGTATTAACCCTAAGTTACTGTTTGCTATTGAAATTAATGTATTCATGCACAACATAACATCAAATTCTCCTTTAAGATATGAAATTTCCAAATAGGATTCGTTCATATTAGGTCATGTTGTCACATGTTCAGGATTCAAATATGAAAAAATATTAAAAAAAATACAACACTTTATGTAAACTAAAGTCCAGAGTCAGTAAAAACCTGACCAGTATCATGTATAATGTGAAGTCAGCTCAGCTAGTTTAAACATTAGTCTATCATTGCTCCAGAATCCATCACACTGTCACAACTCTGATTTTACAAAACCACTAACCAGAGCTAAACAAGACCATTTGTATTTCTTCCAAGGAGGTCACTGTTTCATGAAGCATAATCCTGACCTTTGATCTAATAGTAATGTTGCTATGGTTACTATAATCTTGACTTTTTATCCTTAGGTGATAGAACAATAGTTACTGCTGGTCGGTTCCTCCAATAAGCCCGGATGCTGTGTTAAATAGGTTTACTGGACTACTCCCATCTGTTATCAGAGTACTCTTCAGTCCAAGAGCTTTTAACATCTTCACCTAAAAATAATAAAATGATTGACCATCGTTATTTACTCATACCTAAAAAATGTTCAGAGGATTCTCTGTACATTTTAGCATAATCTGTCAAGTCAAGACTTGAAAATCTGCCAAGTCCAACTAGATAATATTATCTGCTGACATTTCTTGGTTGAAAACTGTCAGGTTTCTACAGCTTGATGAAAAATAAAGTTGATAGGATGCAGTGGTAAATACCTTTGGTTTTTAGTATCATCAAAAATAGATGTAAAAATATCCCTAATATTTCATGGGTTATCATCACGTTGGCTCTGCACCCCTGGAACACGCCATGGCAAATTTCTAATATTGCAATATACTGTTATACTGTTGTGCTACCTGCAGATTTGTTTGATGTACATCAAAGGATCAAACTAGCCTTTTTATCTTGTCCTCAAGGTGTCATGTATGTAACATTCAATTTTGCCATGACATAATCCAAAGGTACAGAGAGCGAAAGTGCTGGTAACCCCTGAAGTATCAAGGATGAGACAAAGAAGGCAACAACTTGCTGAATAAATAAAAAGTTTACAGATCCTGTTTTATGATTTTGACAGTAAATAGTTTATGTTTTTCAATCTGACTGTTTTACCTAACGCTGTATATACAGAGATATCTCTAATCCACCCACCTGTGTCTCGGGACCAGACGTAGCTATAGCTGAAATGGTTTTGGCTCCAATCACATTCACCATCTTCTGGAACTTCTCAACCTTTACCATAAATGAAAAGGTACATTGTGAATCAATCTATGTGGAGACTTACCAGATTAGAAAACTCAAAAAAGGAAAGGCCCTGAGTCAAGATATTCAATACCAGATTTCAACTTTCATTAAGGAAATATTTTATCATTGCAAATTCACTACATGTATTGCATATACTACATTTATATTTAACTCAACAGATTTGATATTTTTTAGATGATATATGAAGTTGGATTAATGTTGATGAGAATCTAGTCTAAAAGATCCTGTTTTACCTCTATATTAGCCATGGTACGAAGTCGATGCACCTCCAGCTCCGTCTGACTCCGAATGTAAGCCAACTCTTGCTTCCTCATCTGAAACAATAGTGCATGTATACATATTAAATAAGCTCAAGTGACCTTGACTTTAGAAACGAGGTCAATTTTTTTGTTATCATGTTATCATGAATAAGGACTAGAACATGTTCGTTTACAAAACATCAGATCATCATACCATTCACAGGGGCATAGTACAGCTAAACGGTCAGATAAACAGTGCACGTAAATCCATCCCCAATATCCAATCAACATTCTAAATAATTCAAGATATAACACAATATTCTATTGGTTAATTTGTGAGAGTATTGAATGGATATACCATTAGCAAATTTCTAATTTGCATATCTAGCCAGTATGATGTCAATTATGCTGAAAGAGATATAAGCAACAATTGGGTAACCCTAAAAGGCCATCAAAATTCTTCAAAAGGTCACTGAAATTTTTGTGAAATATCTTGTTTCAGTCTATATTCATTAGGGATAATAATCTTACTGTGTCTTGAAATTGACGAAGGTATATTGTGAGTATACTGTCCCAAATATCTCTTATACTGCCTCTATTACGCATTGCTGAAAATTTACTGAGTATAATAATGATATACCACAACAAATCTCAAACCTCTGTAGGGTTATCCCCTGATTAAGCACTTTTTCTGAAATATTTCTCGCATAACATGTTTACTGTAGGCACTTAATAATACACAACTATTGCACTGAGGAGTGGAATTCTAAGTCGTGTTTTCTCTTTATCAAACTTCTGATAATTTCCCCACCTGTTGTTAAGAAGTCCTTAATCAACACATTACCTTTTCCTGAGCTTCTTGTTTAGCATAATGTTCTATTTCTTCTGCTTGTGCTTTTAATCTTGCACCTTGAAGAAAAAGAACATTTTCTGAGTTGACAACATTCAAACACTCTAAACAGTTTTAATTAATAGTTACTACAATAAGCTCATGTCTGGTAATATTGTGCCTTCTCCTATCTCCTGCTGTTCACTAGAATTACCTATAAAAGCTATTTCACAGCCAGTTACAAAACCATCCTCAGACTTAGGTCGATGTGTCCTGTCAGAAGTATTTCACTAATACTTTATTTCATAAACTAATGTTTTCAAACATATTTGCAGAGATATGATTTCGGGAAGGCTGATATATAAATGACTTTAAGATTTGTGAGTTGGACTCTGCAAGACTCGGATATTGGTAACCAAATCAACATGAATGCCATTTTCATACAAGTAATCATGAAAGCTTAGATTTGCAACTGATTTTTCTCATGTACCAACACGAACATAAATCCCCACGAAATATAAGTGATTTACACAATATGATTAGTTTACCTGTATGTACTTGGTAATCATTTCTTTTTACTGGTGGCAAACATTACTGTGTCCTAGCCTCGATCTTGCTCTCAGAGCTTAACCTCAATTTATTCACACATCTTACCCTCAATCTTACATCTTACCCTTAATTTCACTCTCACATCTTACCCTCAATCACACTCTCTCAACTAACTAACATCAATCACACTCTCTCAACTAATTAACCTCAATCGCACTCTCACAACTTTAAATTATTGTCAAACTCACTCTCACATTTTTCCCTCAATCTCACACTCTAACTAACCATCAAACTCACTCTCACATTTTTCCCTCAATCTCACACTCAAACTAACCATCAACCTCACACTGACATCTTACCCTCAATCTCACTCTCAAAATAAACATCAACCTCACACTGACATCTTACCCTCAATCTCACTCTCAAACTAACCATCAACCTCACACTGACATCTTACCCTCAATCTCACTCTCAAACTTACCATCAACCTCACACTGACATCTTACCCTCAATCTCACTCTCAAACTAACCATCAACCTCACACTGACATCTTACCCTCAATCTCACTCTCAAACTAATCATCAACCTCACACTGACATCTTACCCTCAATCTCACTCTCAAACTAACCATCAACCTCACACTGACATATTACCCTCAATCTCACTCTCAAACTAACCATCAACCTCACACTGACATCTTACCCTCAATCTCACTCTCAAACTAACCATCAACCTCACACTGACATCTTACCCTCAATCTCACTCTCAAACCATCAACCTCACACTGACATCTTACCCTCAATCTACCTCACACTGACATCTTACCCTCAATCTCACTCTCAAACTTACCATCAACTTCACACTGACATCTTACCCTCAATCTCACTCTCAAACTAACCATCAACCTCACACTGACATCTTACCCTCAATCTCACTCTCAAACTAACCATCTACCTCACACTGACATCTTACCCTCAATCAAAATTTCAAAACTTACCCTCAATCTCACTTTCACATTCAATGATCATCCTCTCAGCTTGAGCTTGAGCCTCGGCTGTGGCCTGACCCGCTGACTCCACGGCGGCAGCGACTGCCTGAAGTTCGAGGAGCTTGGTACGTTCCTGTTCAGAAGCTTTTTCATTATCAAGTTTCTGACGTTCGAGATGGCCCTGCGCTATCTGTTCATTTCGTGCTGCTTCATGGGATGCTGCTGCTTCGATAGAGCTGCAAAATCAACAGAGTAAAAGAATCAGGTATAGACAATCGCTAATAAACAGCAGTAGTAATAGTTGGCTTTCCTGGCTAATTTCAGCCTAAGGAAATACAATTTCAAGACTATCTTATTTGGTCATTTCCAAGAAAGAAAGAGCTCAATTTTGTAAAAATTGAATTTGAACAATAGACAAAATATGAACTTCAAAATTCTTAACTGTTAGAGTGTAAATGGCTAAATTAATAAACAGGAAAAGGAATGAAAGCTTTTGCAAAATCATGAAAAAATCAGTATCATAACTAATAATTTTTTTTATTTATTTAAAGAGTACTAGATTCTATTTCTCACCTTGTGGATATTTCGATAGCCAGTTGTACAGATTTTGACAGACTGTCTCTCATTTTTACATCCACTGGTTCAATGCTCTGAATATCTATACTGCTAATAACCTTATGAACAGTTATTTAAGAAAACAAAATATAAGAACAAGCAAAGCTGGTATTGTGTACAGATTACAATTAAAAATCTTGTTTGATAAGAAGAAAATTTCAGTGATAGATGAACCATCTTGAAAATTGCTGAAATTATGCATTATGTAAAACATTTGGCCCCCAATTTCTACCTCTATAAAACTGAAAAACAATTTAAAATTTTACTAGAAAAACAAATTATGCTTAAGCATATGATTTTTGATAAGACATGCCTTTATTAATATGATAACTTACAAGGTTATTCATTGGGAACTTCAGACGAGAGTTCAGATAGCCATCACTATTCTGTCCAAAGACTGCAGTTTGTATGACCAGGGCTGAGTGACGATGAAACTCATCAAACTGAACTTGAGCAACAGCACCCCGAATACGACTTCCTGTGGAGTTTAATCAGTGTTATAAAAAACCATGAATACGACTTCCTTTGGAGTTTAATCAGTGTTATAACAAACCATGAATACGACTTCCTGTGGAGTTTAATCAGTGTTGTAAAAAACCATGAATATGACTTCCTTTGGACATAAAATCAGTGTTAATGGAAAAATGGGAGAAGAAAAAGGAAAGGTAGAGGAGAAGATGGTTACAAAAGAAGGAGGGGAGGAGAAAAGTAGGAAAGTTAGAGGAAGTGATAGTATGGAAAGAGGAAGAAGAGGAGGAAAGTGTGAGGAAGTGATGGTGTGGAAAGAGGAAGAGGAGGAGAAAAGGAGGAAAGTTTGAGGAAGTGATGGTGTGGAAAGAGGAAGAAGAGGAGGAAAGGAGGAAAGTGTGAGGAAGTGATAGTGTGGAAAGAGGAAGGAGAAGAGGAAAGTGTGAGGAAGTGATAGTGTGGAAAGAGGAAGGAGAGGAGAAAATCAGGAAAGTGTGAGGAAGTGATAGTGTGGAAAGAGGAAGGAGAAGAGGAAAGTGTGAGGAAGTGATAGTGTGGAAAGAGGAAGGAGAAGAGAAAAGGAGGAAGGTGTGAGGAAGTGATAGTGTGGAAAGAGGAAGAGGAGGAGAAAAGGAAGAAAGTGTGAGGAAGTGATAGTGTGGAAAGAGGAAGGAGAAGAGAAAAGGAGGAAGGTGTGAGGAAGTGATAGTGTGGAAAGAGGAAGAGGAGGAGAAAAGGAAGAAAGTGTGAGGAAGAGAAATGTGGAAAGAGGAAGGAGAAGAGGAAAGTGTGAGGAAGTGATAGTGTGGAAAGAGGAAGGAGAGGAGAAAATCAGGAAAGTGTGAGGAAGTGAAATGTGGAAAGAGGAAGGAGAAGAGGAAAGTGTGAGGAAGTGATGGTGTGGAAAGAGGAAGGAGAAGAGAAAAGGAAGAAAGTGTGAGGAAGTGATAGTGTGGAAAGAGGAAGAGGAGGAGAAAGAAAGAAAGTGTGAGGAAGAGAAATGTGGAAAGAGGAAGGAGAAGAGGAAAGTGTGAGGAAGTGATGGTGTGGAAAGAGGAAGGAGAAGAGAAAAGGAGGAAAGTGTGAGGAAGTGATAGTGTGGAAAGAGGAAGGAGAAGAGAAAAGGAGGAAGGTGTGAGGAAGTGAAATGTGGAAAGAGGAAGGAGAAGAGGAAAGTGTGAGGAAGTGATAGTGTGGAAAGAGGAAGAGGAGGAGAAAAGGAGGAAAGTGTGAGGAAGTGATGGTGTGGAAAGTAGAAGGAGAGGAGAAAGTCAGGAAAGTAAGCAGAAGTGATGATGTGGGAGGATGGGAAGAAAGTTAGAGGTGTTGATGGCATAGAAAGAGGAGGGAAAGGAGAAAAGAATGAAATATAAAGGAAAGACGAAGTAGAGGAAAAAACCATGAAAGTTAGAGGAAGTGATTTTGTGGAAAATTAATGGAAAAAGGATGAAGGGAAAAGAGAAATAAGGAGGAAAGATAGAGGAGGTGATATAGAAAGATAGAAAAAGTTATGGTGGGGAAAAAACAAAAGGCAGAAGGAGGAAAGTAAGAGGTGATGCTGGTGTGGAAAGTAAGGGGGGGTCGAGGAGGAAAGATAGAGGTGATGTAAGGAAAGAGAAAGAGTATGGAAAAAGGAGGAAAGTAAGAGGTGATGTTTTCAATATCATGTGTACATTAAATGAATGAGTCTTACTAATTTTCAATATTAATTAATGTTTTATAAATACTGACTTACCTATCTGTCGACAAGCATTTCCAATAAAATCCGGTACTGAAAATATGGACATTTCACTATCCTTGTTTCCTTTCTCAAACTAAAATAAAAGATATGCTTGTTAACCTAAATTAACTTATAAGATGTTACATTTGATATTCTATTATCAATTACTTTGGGGGGGGGATGCAGGCAGAAGCTTGATGAAGTTAGATGAAATTGATTTCCCTTCACCAAAGAAAGCTTCAGAAAAAGTTGGGTAAAATCCAATTATTTCTTCAGGAGTAGTATTTTGAAAAAAAATCTGCCCTACTTCCCCTTTCTCCTTGCCCCAGTGATGACTTGGTGTGATTTATAGGAAATGTTGATGTATTTAAATTATTTCCACTATGTTTCCCTGCCCCTTTGGCCTCAGTAGGGGTGTCAGACCAACCATTTATAAATAATGTCCTGCAATTTCTGGAGAACAAGATATATTTTGAACAAAAATGACAGATTTTCTCCATTTGGTCCCGCCACTTAGGCCCTGGGACCAAGGCCCATGTTTTATTCAATATCATTTCTCCCTTCCCAAAGGCAGCTTTACACCAAATCTTGTGAAAATCGATGCAGTTGTTCATGACTTTTGACTGGTAGTGTTTTATAGGAAAAGTTGACAGACAACAGATGCTATGGTATCTCTAAAACTAACATGGCCCTTCCAGTAAGGTGAGCTTAAAATTCAATAAATTTTCAAATATTACCGAAAATATGATTCAAAACTTACTCATGTCTATTTTTTCCAGCTATAATAAGAAGTCAGGCATGATGATTTTTTCCCCAAAAGGAATTTTCAACACAAATTCTGGAAAGTTCAGAATTTGTAAAAAACATTAACATTATTTACTATTATCTAATTTTGTTGGAATCATAGTAATCAATCAAACACGTTACATATATATGTACCTCAAAATGATTGTTGAAAGCAAGCTGGATCTTGAGCCTGGCATGGTCAGCTGTCTCAACCTGTTAAATGAAGCATTTATTTAAACTTTCATACTTTTGAAAATGTTTCGAAAGACACGAATGTCCTGACTCACATGTAAATTAGTGGGTGATTATCTATATATTGTATAAGTGACCTTGACCTTTAGAACACTGAAATATCAACTCATATAATGCATATTTATACTTAAGGTTAAGTTTTATCAAGGACTGAACATGGGTAACAAATCAAGCCAAGCAGTCTTCACACAAGTTTCAACTACGGAATTATATTTACATTAAGCTTCATGCTGATCACTGCAGAAGTTTTAGCAAAGAAGAAATTGTTAGTCATCATAAATGGTGGTGACCATTTTGGTTCCAAGGACTAGCACGAAAAGTAACAACATACAGAAACAATTACCATCTAGGTAGCCATTCAACCAGCCAAACATTAATCAAGAAAATATCATACAATGATACACACAGAGAGACATAAAAAAAGTGTACATACCTCAAGGATATCAGTGATAAAGTCAGGCCCAAGCATTAGACACAGAGATTTCATAGCACCTTCCTTTTTAGGTTTGCCCGCTACGATACAATATAAAATGGTATACAAACTTTTCTAATTGAACTTAAAAATTTCTAGCTGATACAACACTTCACGCTGTAATATCATGACAACGAAAATGAATATCTGAGCAAAAGGTTTCTCTGCAGAAATTCTAAACCAGCCACCAGTAACGTATCCTGCAATACACCTAGGTCAATGATCTATGTATGGGCGTTTCTACAGAAAGCACGATGATTTTGGTGATATTATTTCATTCACTATCAAATTTTACCAGAAAAATCTACAGCAGAAATATACCAAGATGAACCAATAGAAAAAAGGTACAGAGTACCAGCTGATAAAAATATCCAAGTTAGAAGGAGGCAGAGAATCTTTGACCAAATTGAGGAGGGAGAGATATGGTGGCACTATACAACATTAAAGCCAGTGATGGAGAGCATTGTTCTTCTGCTGTTGATAAGAGCTGTCCACATATTCATTATCCAGCCATTTCACTGAGAAAATACAACTAGACTGACAATTTTTCAACTCTATATATGTTCAGAATAAAAATATATTGATCTTACCACTGAGGCTGAGAACATTAAAGTTTTCATGAGGTCCGAGAATTACTAGGTCTGGTCCAAACACGACACGAGCAGTCTTCTCCAGGTAATTATACACCTGTCAAATTAAGGATAAAACACATACAAAAAACCTGACTTAAAAAGAGGTTAATATTCATGTAAAATTATTATTTATAAATTTATGAATTAATGTTTAACTTGGTTGACAACTTTTTTATACATCATCTCTTTGGATATTTCATATGATTTTTTAAACACCATTTGTTTTAAATATTTATGATCCAAGCAACAAACAAATACAATACACTTATAGGTCACAATCTGAAGGATTTACAGTGCCAACCCCAATATACCTACCACTTGTGTAAGAATTATCTCCCTTTACTTAAAAATCTAATTTTATGCTCCTTTACCTAAATGTTTTAAGACATTACTTTCCGAGTTCAAAACTATTTTAGAAAGATACTTTTGACAGGATAATATAAGATACACCCTTAAGTCGTGGTTGTGTTTTAACCAAGTGCTTGATTTCAGCAACTTAAAAACATTTTGAAATTTTAGATTTACATAGTAACTTAACTATGAAATATTAATGTTGTCAAATTTTTCAAATGATTATATTTAATAATGCAAAAAACTTGTTTTAAGATAAAAGTTATTCAGGTTCACAAGATAATGGTGTTTCACCTTACCTGGACAGCAGTGTTGCCTGGACAACGAAACGTCACCACACGACCTTTGCTACGTCCCTACAATGATGATAAATATTTTTTTCCGTTAAACCTACCTACTTAAAACATACACATCAAAACACTCAAAGCATCAGATTGAAAATAGATATCATATTTGCAACAACTGATTTATATAATTCCTTCAAGAAATTATAACTTAACAGCACGAAAAAAAAGAAAATCTACAACTGATTTCCGTATGGATGCAGGATTAATTGTCATAAAAAACATTCTTCCATGTTTAGAAAAGAAAACTTTGTAAGCAGCTGTATCTCACTGCATGATGGAATGAGGTGATATTTGTTTTTATTTGACCAAGTGGTGTAGTACCTTAAGCATCTGTGGATCTATTGATTGTTCAAAGTAGGCCATCTTCCTGATGTCTCCTGACCCAGAGCCTCCTCCTTGTCTGAATAGCAACAAAGTAGTACAGCTAATAGTGGTAATTATTGAGACAACCAAAAGTCTAATAGTGCCTGTATACCCTATCTGTCATTAAATACCTGTATTGTTTTTCTGGGTTACACTGATAACTCTCCTTCAGTTTGGAGGTTATCCCTCCATCCTCTAAAATTTCTAGTAAGTTACAGCTATCATGTGAACAGAGATAGCATTCTTCTCCCACTAATTATTAAGATGAACTTGAACCCTTTTGTAGCACACCTACTGTTTTTGAACCATCAATCCTGAAGTCATAATGCTCCAGTCCTTATAGCTTTTCTATTCTAAATCTCTTCAGTCCTTATACTGTAGAAGTGTATGACTGTTCCAAAATTCCAACAGTCACACAACTTTATTAAATGTTCTTTTTCTTTCACTTTTTTTCTTACATCAGGCCTTGTTGAAACTTCTTTAGTTAAATTCAATTTTTTGACAATGATTTTTTTTTACATTCTTTGCTCTATTATCCCCTGATATGAAGTTTACAAAGCTTTCCTTGTTTATCTTATAACAAAAATTGTCTGACAAACCAATCACAGAAACTGTACCATAGAATACCATCAATTTCCTTGACATTTCAGTCCAGGTGAACTGAAAATATCCACTAAATAACCAATACCAGGGAAATCTTACTTGAGGAGAGTTTCAGTATCATCTGGTAGAACTTTGGTCCAAAGTTCCTCGTCCTCCGTCAACATGTAGGACTGTGGCCCCATCTCGGCTCTCACCTGGAGAAAACACCATGTAATTTAGACGACAGTAAGTAAATGTAAATCCATTTACGATGAGTACATAAAAACATTGTCAATAGCATTACAATGATAAATAGAACTTTCTAGTGATTACTCAACACAAAGTCATTCCTGGTTCTTACAAACTTAAAACATCTAATTCTAAAACTTAATCAGGACTTCCTAATCAGAAATTCAAAGACCTTTTTTCAAAGGCTTTTTTGGGACAATGATCAATTCATTTTTGTTCAGTTCATGACGTAACCATCTATATTTTTGTGGTTTTATATTGCAAGCTAAAATTGCAACTAAGAAAACAAATATGGCTGACTATTTCTTTGGGATACTCTGGAGATTTGTTTTAATCAATATATAAGGAAATTATGTTATGTTTTGTATTTTAATTTTAACACCAAATCCATAAATTTAATTCCATTTTATGTAAATTAGTGCTAAATTCAAAGATTTTCCTGTCAAGAGAATGGTCCATGCCTATCTGTATGAACCATTAGAATTTTTATTAATTGAATCATACAGAAAAGTCCTCCTTTTACCTGGCCAGTTTTCCTATCCTGGACATAAATTCCTTCATTTTTACTTAAGGGTATCTGCTTCCTAAAAAAAAAGCAAAAGATCAAAAAAGACTATTTTTGCAATTCAATGAAATTGTACCTGTACTATTAATTAGGGAGAAACTAACAATTTTTTTGTAATTGTCAGATTTTCCATAAAGCTCCTAAATTTCCATCCTGAAAATGCATTGTTCTGTGCATTAGGTATTTTTCCCATACAGTGGACCTGCAATAATCTGTATGCTGATAGTCCAGAAAACTTGCATTCAACAATATCATATTGACAACTTTAAGGTCTTGTAATCAAGGGAGATAACTCTGGTTATATTGAACGGTTGACAAAACTCAGCAGTCTGAAAAACTTGTAATACAGACGATTTTGGTTGGGAACAATGATATCTTGATTATCATGGGTCCACTGTATATCTAAATTTTGCAAATAGAGCAAACTTATAAAATTCACACAAATCACAACCATAAAATTTGTTTGTGTTATTGTCTGTACAAGACTGTAAGTGATATTTAAGTTGCATCATACCTGCACCGAATAACCACAACCTGACACATCTACATATGAAATACAATTCGTACCATTTACAAATTATTCATAAATAAGCTACTTCTATATTTACCAGAGCAAACAATGCTTGACAAAGTAATCTCTCTGAGACATTAAACCACTATACAGCATACATACCCTGTACATATTTTAAAAATCAAGGAGATAATTCGATAGTACATAGTAACATAGGGGCTGTCTCAATACATTTTACACATACTGATATGTCAACTATATGTTTTTCAATGAGCAATGCTTTTTTCTACAGTAGCCTGTACCTTTACAGTATAAATAAAAGCAATGTTCAGCGTAAGTCACTGACTTGATAACAAATTTCTCTCCAATTACCTTTTGTCAACCACGATCACATGTAAAGGAGGCGTGTAGTCTCCAGGGCCACGAATCATCCAACGATCTCCTGGACTTCGCTTCACTGCCTTACCTGGATAACAAATTACAACAAACAAATCTTTAATATACCTATGTCCACTAATTTGTATGGGTTCAATGTGTCACATGATCAATATCAGCAGACACAAAGAGCAGTCAGAATGACAGACTCCTCCTCTACGAACAAATATTTCCAGTTTGTGTGGACTTTAACCTATTCTAGTATAAGATGTTTCAAAGTGAAGTCACTTTTGCTGGTCTGTTTGTATTTTTATTTCTAGTCATTGTCAGTAAAATATGTCCAATTTTCTCAGAACATTAATATAAAACATATCATTTTAGCCTTCCTACATAACATGAACTGATGCCTATCTTGAGTACAATACCTTTGCCTGTATCTTCCAATATGTCCTCCTCGGCCTGGAGTATCAAAGCATCATTCTCAGACAGGATGTATGCACTTTGAACTTTGCCCTTTTCCAGGGATTCCCCTGAAATATTATTACAAATATGTAATGAAGAATTTCAACTTTACTCTTCTTCATGGATTTCCCGTTAATACTTTTTATATCAACACTTCAATGCAAAACAATTTTGATGTATTTTACAAGTCAGACCTTCATTTTAGTTATAAGGGCTATTCCCGTAAAACATCTACTTTACCCCCCGCCCCCTCAAAATACTATCTTTATCCATGGTTTGGTTTCCTATCTGTAATCTTTAAGGTGTTTATCAATCAAATTTTCAGGTTGGTACCCGTTAACAAAACCAAAAGTCCAGAGGTGGGATAAATGTTTAATTGGTGGAATAGCTTTCATATGAACACATAGGTTATATTTTATCAGATACTAAATATAAAATTTGGAAATAATTTTGAACTCTGCAGGATTTTTTCTTTATTTGAGAGCATTGTGAGATCAGTCAAGGTAATTAGTAACCTGGATGGAGGAAGAAACTGCAACAGCCAACCCGAAGTTCCCTCTTCCCAAGCTGTGGCTTCAGATTTTTGTCAACAACATCCTGTACAATGCAGTATTCCCCTTTCTTTACCACTACTCTGCTTTCCTTTGATACAATCTCCTGTGAAAGAAAGACAAAAAAACAGATTGTATTTGCTTATAAATGTCAAACATATATAATTATTCTTTAAAGCTTTACCAAGACATTGATGATACTGACCACTCCAATCTCAGGCAGGTATTGGTCTAGGTCCTCACCAGTCACAAGCCACTCCTCACCTACCAACCTGGAATTTAAAATAAGGATATAAAATAAAAGGTTCAATTGACCTGTATCAATCTTTTTCTTCAGAACATTTTAATCCTCAGACTCAATTTAAGATAAGAGAAATTATCAGTTGCAATTACCGTTTAATGCCTTGTCTGTCAGTTGTAGATTGTGTTGCTTGTAATCTCAAGCCTCGATCTGGTGTCAGTGTGATCTCTTTCTCCAAGCCCAATACCTGTAACCAAGGCAACATGGTAATAAAATATCCACAGAAGATACAGAATCACTAAAATGTATGGTGACCTGGATTCCTAAATAAACAGCAATATCAATTCTTAATCTGATATGGATTGCATTTATGCAAATGTTTGTTGGCATATTCATAGATCTTGGATAACTAAAACACTTGCAGGTAAGGAATGCAGAGTGTATTTAGGTTACAATGACAATCTCATGATCAACATTCACTTAACTGCAAAACTGAACAAATACATCGGTCGATAATTAGATATGTACATATATACATTTATATACAAGCCCAGATTTTCCTCAGCTAATATCTCCTTGAAAATATCTTGTATGAAAATTCCTCAAGGAATTTCAGGACATCCTAGCCTATGCCTTCTTCCTGTTCCTTGAGAAAATTTTATACAAGCCGTTTTTGAGGAGATATCAGCTGAGGAAAATCTCGACTTGAGGAAATCTCAAGTTGAGATGTTTTATACAAGTGGGGCCAGAAATATTTCCTTTCAATTAAATGTCTGATCTGAAAAAGAAATCATAATACATACCTCTTCAAATACATCAGGGAGGTAGGCACCAGATGTGTACTGCATCCATTCTTCACCAGTGACACGGTCTCTACATAAAATTAAATTTTTTCAATCCAAAAAAATAGCAAAATATGTTTTTGTTTTCAATCAAAGTCCTTTTAACTGTGATACACAAATAGATGGCAGTGTGACACTGTAATGTCACTTAGGCAGTGACCACAAATAGATGGCAGTGTGACACTGTAATGTCACTTAGGCAGTGACCAAAAATAGATGGCAGTGTGACACTGTAATGTCACTTAAGCAGTGACCAAAAATAGATGGCAGTGTGACACTGTAATGACACTTAGGCAGTGACCAAAAATAGATGGCAGTGTGACACTGTAATGTCACTTAGGCAGCGACCACAAATAGATGGCAGTGTGACAAGAACTTTGTTATATACAATGATGCTAAATTTAGAACGAAATCATCAATTACTGTTTATTTGATATTTTTGTGAGGCTAAATTTTCTTAGTTTTTCCAAAATATTTCAGTTACTAATTTGTGGACTCCCTATTTCGTGGATATATAAAGCTCATTGTAAGTACTTATTCTAACAATTTCTGGGTACATGAATGTGTGGATGAAGAAAAAAAATCAATAAAAATAACACACCCTCCCCCCACCCCCCCCCCCCCACCTGAAAATGAATGTCTTAAATTACAATTAATTGGCTTTGGTCCTAAACTATACAGTTATCCTGTTTTGACCTTCCATCAGGTTCATAGTGATAATATAAAGATGTAGGTTGTTGCAATGCACATTAAATTTTGAGCCAGATGATAAAATATGCCTGGTATTGTACATATATGTATACATACACCCCGCTGCGGTCGGTGAAGTCTTGGGTCGCACGAAGTTTCAGTGCCTCTCCATTTCTTATCACCATAGGACTCACAATCTTCACTATCTCCTACAAAGTCATAATAAACACAGATCATATATTTTCAAACAAACTGTTTTGGAGGACAAAAATCGAAATATATATTATTCATTAATGAAGAATAGGACAATTTCAACACAATGGTCACCAACAACACCAAAACTTTGGAAAAGAAATAAATATATTTTTCTTACAATACGGCCATATCTGGTAAAACAAATGTCTATTTATAGACATATTTTTGTACAATAAAGGTTCACACATACTTAGGTTTTATGTACATGATGTTTCAGTTTATATGTAAATGTATGTATGGTAATTAAGTCAGGTGATCACTGGCTGATCACTATAATTGGCCCCTGTTTGGCTTCGGTGATCCTCGTTTGTCCTACCTGGGGTCAGTTTGCCCTTGCCGGGCTATTGAAAACCCCACTTCAGCAGCATTTTTTAGACACTTTGACGCCATATTAATTTTTTAATTTTCTCTAGAAGTTTTTTCCTTATTTGCAACCTAACTTTATTATTCACCTGGATTTATTTTACAACACGTCCCACCAACCACCCCATACTACCTGCCTTTAATTGGTATGTGTGAGTTTTTATTTCTTGTCTTCTTAGTTTGATACCGACTATGTTTGTAAAGATAGTTTTAATCAAGATGTATTTATGTGTATATAATTATGTTTGTAAAATAGTTATTCACAAGAGATATGTATGTATATTAGATAAGCAGAGTCCCAGTGCTTCCCCTTTGGTCATTTTGCCTAACTGCCGGGTGCAGGTTTGCTCTCAGAAGTTTTTCCTGAAGCGCACTATGATCGCAAAAAAGGGGTTTGAAAGTTTGGTTTTCACTCGAACGTAGGCGTAGTTTCGCTCACCTTTGCTCCAAATATGTTATTACCAAATTTTTATATGTACATGTTAATCAAACTAGGTTAAAAACAAACGGCTTCCCTATTCTAAAAAAGGGTATGCCAAGATTTTACAGCCAATTTGATTGTTTGGTATTCTTTTCGTGACACTTAGAGCAAATAGAGCTCGTGGTATGGTAGACAAAATTTATGTCAAAGTTAGTATAAAGAAATTTCATTAATCTTATTTTCAATTCACCTAAACAGTAACAGAAAGAGATGGCTTATTTCCAGGTGTAAGCTCATTCAAGAAAAAGCATATTTATTAACTTTCAACTCACAACTTCAGGACAAGGGCGGTAGCTTAGAGGACCATTCAGCTGCCATTGGTCGCCTGCCTGATGTTGTCCTGTCTCGTCCTCAAAGTCCAGCACTGCTTTTAGTCTGATTGCATGGTCAGCCTTCACTATGGGAATAGGCTGCATAGCAGGCATGTACCCTGATCTACCTGTCTGGTAGTCAGGGGCCCCAAACAGGGACTCGCCTGGCAACAATGGAAAAGGTTCCTGAAAATCAATACATTACCATGTTAACAAAAAGACCCATAGTCTCTTAATTACTTAAAATTTAAAAAACGTTTTGATATGATTGACTTCCGTGACCCAAGAAAATGGGTCAAATTTCTTCATTGGAACAAATCTGATGGCCTTCTACAGCAATAAGCTGACTCATTACACTTCTCAGGAAAAAGACCAACAAAAATTCAAAGAAAAGAGATAGATAATCAACTTCATGATTTCTATAATTTTCTTTACTCAAAATTCAACAATTGCCAATTTTAATGAATGATATGAGAAAACTGTAAATTCACTTTCAGTACAAGTTAAAACTTCTCAGCAGTAATGATTTCAATATCCAAAAATAGGAATGTTACATTTCATGTAACCAAGGCGTGACTACTAACCTGATGAAACCTGACCTGTTTTTGGCCCAAAAGATTCTTACACACCTGGCCCGGTACATAGTTACTGGAAAATAGATCATACCCGTGTGTAATAGGATATATTCTTGACACAATAAATATCCTTCACTGAGCCAGGAGCAGCAACAAATTATCTCTGACTCATAAGCAGGGGATGGGCTTATTACATGACAATAAAACAGAATTTGTTTGTACTTTCGCTGATCAATTCTAGATATAAGTGGGCTTATTATCTGATCTGTGTTTATTGATGGGCGAGTACAGATGCAAAGTTACTCTAAAAAGGCTGAGTCATCAAAATTAGAGCAATATCTTTGGTTTTGCAGGGTGTAACATTAATGAATTTATGATACATAAATTAGGACAACACTTGGAACTTTAATTGCAGTTTTAGTACCCCTTCAAAAATTTGGCTAACCCAATACACCTACCATACAGGATATCTTTATAAAAAATGTACCAGTATTTGTTCTGAGGTCCTGCTTCCCAATTAATACAAACATTTTGAAATGACACATGCATAGAGTCTTGATACATACATGCAAGGGTTTTCTATGATACAGTATTGGCCTGGGGGCACTTTTATCATAGGAAGTGGTCCCCTATGTAACTGTTCATTGTTTTTCAGTACAACAGTCTGTGGACCAATTTCAACACCTGTGATATTCCGATTCTGTTAAAAAAAAAAAGACAAAAAAGAATTAGGATTTATAACCTGAAAAATTACAGATGGAGTGTTTGGAATTAAGCTTTGTCTAGATTTATGGAAGAATGGAAGCTTGTCATGGAAAAGCTGAAAGTATCTTAATTTCATATCTAGGTTCATACCCAAAGAAACTTAATCATACTGACATGTAATGGTAAGGTAAGGCACACAATATGAACATTAATGTATCACTAAAAATCAATATTACCATTTTTGAAAAAATTTTCAATCAGACTGAAAATATGGCATTTTTCTTTTCTTTATTTCTTTATTTTTGCAGTAATGGTTTAGTACATAGGTAATTGTGTTATCTTTTATTCTCTCTGTTTTAAATCTAAATTATTGTATTTATCATCTGTTTGCTGGAGTCATTCAAATCATATCTTGTACGTAATTTACAAGCTAAGCGCAATCAGTTCATGGACCGACTAAGTAATTATCACACTGACTGTGCACGCAGCTGCAGTAATATAGTAATTTGATTAAAACAAAATATAATTATTAACTTTATAAACATTGATACAACACGTTGTATAACGGATAAGACTTCGAACATATTTTGACGTAAATCTCCATTTTAACGTCTTGGGGTGTCATGCTGAGTCGACAACTTGCCAACTCGGCCAATCAACTGAGACTTGTCATGAAGTATTTTCCACGAGTTTTAGTTAAGAAATATTGCAACATATAATTGACAGTTACGTATTCTGTTCTCTACTTACTAAATCAGTCACGTGCACATAAAAATGTGGCTTTAGTCCGATAATGTTGCCGGTGGCCATAACTGTCGACTTCTATGTCTATTCTTGTCAATGACGTTTGTTTATTCCCCTGTCTAGTTTCACTTCCGCATGAAATAGCCGGTGCTATGTAAGGAGTAAACTGCGGACAAATTTCCGGAAGGACTGAAAAATAGTTGTAGATCGTGAACCTATTAAAACATGCATAGAAAAGATATCAGCCATTCTATCGTCATTATTATCTAAGTTATTTTGAAAGAAATCTCTTTTAAACCCCTTTAGTATTACAAACTGACTGGGTTTTTTTCTATTAAAATAGTAATAAGAGTTATCTCCCTTCTATTGGACAACCGCAAAACCTGGTCATGTATTGAATTCATTATTTCTTTGCATATTTTTATCAATACAAATATTTGGTTGAACCAACACATATTTAAGAACGAACTCCGATTTAATAAGTACTTGAAATAAAAAGACACACATATGCGATTTTTATTGGTTGCATGAAGAGGTATGAAAAGACAGACTTAACACTATTTCTACTAAGTTATCTTCATAGACGTTTATGAACCTTTATGATTGTCTGTAGACACAATGTTGGACAACCTAGATTGTGCCATTCATTTTACCAATCTCTCAAAATATTTCTAAGTGAATTCCGTCTTAAAATATTCCGAATCGTTTCTATATTGAAATTAAAAAACATATGAGCAAAGACAAAGAATGATACAAGACATACAGGTGAGAAACCTTTCAACACACGCGTGCACCATTTCGATTGTAGACTATACAGACCGCGGGGTGATGAAAACTTCCTGCGGTATAAAGTGTATTGTTAAATACTTTCCGGTCGATTTTTCTGAAAATAAACTTGAGGCTTATGCTATAGGCAAGGATAGGACGGAATGGTGGATGAGTGTAACGCCTTAAAGAAACATAAACCTACTACAATAGAATGTCACACGTCATCAAAAATGGGTGTTGAGGAACCAGGGTAAAATATCAACACAGAAAATATTTGCATGGCGGAAGCGATATTTCATCATGTCTCATATTTTGATGAAAACAAACAAATGTATCTTTCTAAAAGTGATAATCGGGATAGTAAGAGACAAACATCCAATGACAGATATCTCTCATCGTTCTTGGATAGTGGAATGTTGGACTTTGTCTTAAATCAATTGAATGTCACATATGCACTCTTTTCCAGACAATCAGTTGACTAAGTGAAAATAGCGAAAGGAAAACAGACAAAATGACACGCATGCCGAGTAAGTGTCGCTGCTTGTCTGATTTAAGTCAGTGAGTTGTTGAAAATTTATATATTGATTTACAATTTTGATTCGAAATAAAACGGTGTAAAACAAGGTTCTGTGCTTGATCTGCTTCTTTTCAGAATATTATTCGTTGACTCTATTGGTATCCATTTTAACGATCTATGGGTAAAATGTAAAAGGAAAAGCGTAGAACCAACCAACTTTGAAGTCGGATGGATGTCGTTATAATCTCCAAAGTACAGGTTCAATCTATTGTCTATCGGAGGTACGAACAGATATTTTCGGTTAACCGAGATTCTTTTGACTTTGTCATGACATATGCCAGCGTCAGTATGTATATCGATATCATTTACACTCTCGGATTTCAGCAACCAAAGGGAAAACCTGCCGTAGACAGGAACGTAACTACACACACACATATACCACCCCGATCAAACCTTCCGTAACTCACCTGACTGATTTACCGCGATCCCCGGTCCCCGGTCCCCGATCCCCAGTCCCCGACCCCGATCCCCAGATTAGAAATGAAATCCAAAATGAGGTATATAAGGATACTCATATTCGATATCATTACTTGTCTAATATAATTCATTAAATTGTTTTCATTCCCGTGCAGTGTGCTAAGTCGTCGCTATTTTGATATATTCATAGGATGATGCGATGACGGCGTAACGGGGGAGGGGGTGTTCAGGAGATGCGAAATCGTAGCGGGGAGAGAGGCTTAAGGGTCCTTGTCCCCAGTTCGTCCTTTATCTAATAATTAATTGATTAATGAAGATGCCCAAAAATCGACCCCACCTAGCTCCATTTGCATGGGAACTGTTATGGAACAGAACCAGACACGCGGTTACTCTTTTGTACTGTAAACACTCGGTCCATTCTGTCAGCAGTAGGTCGATAGCATTGTGATCCTCGGAAATTCCGTTGAATTTTCGCTTTGCACAAGATTTTATTTTGTATAATGTGCAGCAAACATGGAAGTACCTAAATTGCGGTATGTATATTTTTCTCCCTCTCACCTATCCTTTACCAACGCGATACAAGTAACTCGTTTGATTTTCTCCGGTTCACCTATCCTTTATCAAACGCGATACGGGTAAGTCGTTTTAATTCTTATTTCAATCGCATGCGCTGATACAAGTTACAAGCGCCAAATCCCACGAATAAGAACAATACAGTTTAGAGAAAGGGTGGTGTCTGCGCTGTCAAGTCCACTGGTAGAAGTATTCCATCGAAACATTCTCTCTGCTATTATCACTAAAAAGGGTAGTATAATCAAAATATGGAAGAGATATATTGTGAACGCTCAGCACCCCCCCCCCCCCCCTTCGCAAAAAACCTCGTTGTTATTAAGTTATTTATTGTAAACCTCTGCTCTGCCGTTTTACGAAAAGGAAATATCATATTACTGAACTTACTAAAACGGGAACAAAATACAAATTAAGTTAAGTGTTTACAATAAAAACACGAGCTAGACAGGGAAATATTTGAAGACGACAGGAACAGGAAAGTTCAATTTAAAGTGTTTTATTTGAACATTATACTTTCGCATATAGAAAATTTTTTAGGCTTCTGTATTTCTTAAAAGCGATCTTACATAACAATGAGAAATTATGAGAAACAGAAAAGGATTTCACCGAATATTGGTAGCGTTTCGTGACATATATTAAATTCTCTGTGTGGATTGTCAATACCCAGACATGACTGGGCTACTGGTTTGGGACATGCAAACAAAGAATCAATGTTTATCTGATAAAATACCAATGTGCGTGCGGAATGATATTGGTGGTCAGGAATGTTAACGTCTTGTCTTCCCCTCCGTCTGACAATGGCCTAGTCCAAGCAGCATCTGTCGCCACACGAGATGCTGCGCGTTATCAGTCAAATGGACCAGTCCGAAGAGGGAATTCCCCTAAGCTTTGTCTCTCTTTGATCAAGCAGTCGCCAGCCAGGACTAGCGGCATTAGCGTGCACTGAAAACGGGATTAAATGTTTGATTACAAAAAGTCTACGATAGGTAAGTTGCAGTACCAAGGATACTTAGCTTGCGTGAAACATATATCGATATTGCATGCATGATTATACCTTCTTCAACACACGTGTTCCTTAGGTCTTAAACCACCGACATATCCAAATTAAATCACACAGTTGTACACACGTGTCAAAACGATATGTTTCATACATGCATACACACGTTACGTCCATTTTTTACACATTGTATTGTAACAGAAAGACATTTATGTGAGTTATATATTTACATACACATGCTAAATCACATGTCACACATGTATATAACACGTGTATAGTCTGTCACACGCAGTAACGTAAATTATGTTTCTCGGTTAAAAATGTACATTGTACACGTGAATATTTTTTTTATTGTCACACACTTTTCTAGCTGAATAAAATTGATCAAAGTAACACTGGAGACCTGTACTCAATAATTTCATCATATATCATTACTATGAAGTAATTTTTAGACATATACGTATATATTTATTCTAAGTCGATGTCAATAGCTAGGAAAAGCAAAATGAAGCTCCAAGATGGTCAGAAAATATTGTTTGTTTGCTGGTATGAGTTTATCATCACATGAACAGCTAAGGTCATTTTGAGGCAGGGTTGCTTCATACTACCTGGTGGCAGCCTCACTGAACAAAAAAACGAGAGGTCCATTGCATGCCATCCAGAGCAAAATAGCTACAGTGCCTTGCCCAAGGAAACATCCACATTAGAATAGACATGTCTGTATCTCAGCTTCCTGAGAACCAAAAACTGTCACATGTAGTAAGCATCCAACCACACATATTGGATGCTCTACCTGACTGAGCTGTCATTGCCCCCAGTCTGGGAATATACTATGTACTTATACAATATGGTATGTACCAATATCTTATATAAGAATGAACTTTATATGTCATTGATCTGTCCATTCAAGTTTGAGAATGACATATATTATCCGTAATTATATTGGTGATCTGCATATTTATTTATATTCATGAAGATATCTGCCATAATGGTTTGTATGTTAAAAAAAAATGCAAATTACAATTGTACAATTGAATGTAGATTGGCCCCAGTCTCTAAGATATTGAAACCATAAATAAGATTGAGCTTCTTGATACTGTATTGGTCTTTTGGATATGTCTGATCTTGAGTTTCAAACGTGGGGGAGATAAACTAGTGTAAAGTTTTATTGAAAACACGGAAATCTACACAAGGGAGGTAATTTACATGACATACATGAAAGATATACAGGTGCATAAATTTTACCCACATGTAAATTTATGATGCATTTCATACCTATCAAAATATATCTAAGACATGCAAAGTTCATTGATCGCGAAAATAACTCCAGCATGTAAAGTTTGTCTATTGAAATCATGAAATTACCCCCCAGTGTGGGTCCGAGGTGTCCAGTAGCTGAGCAATTCTTAACAAAACCTTACAGGCTGTTAGCCAGTCTAAATTTAATGTTGAGGAAAATAATTAAACTCTTTAATTTTGAAAAATTTTACAAAGCATTTTACGTTTGTTGTTATTTTAAAGGGACATTCAGGGATGTGTGTGTTGTTGTTATTGTAAAGGGACATTCAGGGATGTGTGTGTTGTTGTTAAAGGGACATTCAGGTATGTGTGTGTTGTTGTTATTGTAAAGGGACATTCAGGGATGTGTGTGTTGTTGTTAAAGGGACATTCAGGGATGTGTGTGTTGTTGTTAAAGGGACATTCAGGTATGTGTGTGTTGTTGTTATTGTAAAGGGACATTCAGGGATGTGTGTGTTGTTGTTAAAGGGACATTCAGGGATGTGTGTGTTGTTGTTAAAGGGACATTCAGGTATGTGTGTGTTGTTGTTATTGTAAAGGGACATTCAGGGATGTGTGTGTTGTTGTTAAAGGGACATTCAGGGATGTGTGTGTTGTTGTTAAAGGGACATTCAGGTATGTGTGTGTTGTTGTTATTGTAAAGGGACATTCAGGGATGTGTGTGTTGTTGTTAAAGGGACATTCAGGGATGTGTGTGTTGTTGTTAAAGGGACATTCAGGTATGTGTGTGTTGTTGTTATTGTAAAGGGACATTCAGGGATGTGTGTGTTGTTGTTAAAGGGACATTCAGGGATGTGTGTGTTGTTGTTAAAGGGACATTCAGGAATGTGTGTGTTGTTGTTATTGTAAAGGGACATTCAGGGATGTGTGTGTTGTTGTTAAAGGGACATTCAGGGATGTGTGTGTTGTTAAAGGGACATTCAGGGATGTGTGTGTTGTTAAAGGGACATTCAGGGATGTGTGTGTTGTTAAAGGGACATTCAGGGATGTGTGTGTTGTTGTTATTGTAAAGGGACATTCAGGGATGTGTGTGTTGTTAAAGGGACATTCAGGGATGTGTGTGTTGTTAAAGGGACATTCAGGGATGTGTGTGTTGTTAAAGGGACATTCAGGGATGTGTGTGTTGTTAAAGGGACATTCAGGGATGTGTGTGTTGTTAAAGGGACATTCAGGGATATACAATTATAATTATATTACTGTATCATATGGCATTTTTTTTAAAGTTTGTTTTTGCCTAGTACTTTCGTAAGCGACACTGTATTCTAAGTATAGGATAAAGTACTACAGGATATGTTCCTAATTTCTAAGGATCAAATTATGGTAATTTGATCAAAACTTTAGTCAGAAATGTTTAGTTTTAGCTACTATATACAATAATAGTTATCGCAATTAGGAAATCTTTTTAAATGGAGGCAATTTTAGACCTGTCTCTGGGACTTCCAGCAACCATGACAGCAGTGCTTCCCGGTTAAAGTTGTACTGTCATATCGTTGTCATAACATCAGTGTGTGTCTCCGTTTTTGGCAGGAAAAATCTGTATAAATTGGTATTCAAACAAATTAACAATTGTCATACAGATTCTGGAGTGCCATAGTTTCTTGAGTGTAGCTCTACGAAGACTGGGAAACAGTTAATTAAACAGGGTTGTCCGACTTCCCATATGTGTTACCAATGATAATGGTATGGTCCTTGAACCAAAATCAGTACTCCGTTAGGGATCTAATTTCATTCAACCATCTCTTGAAAGTTTCATATAGGTAGATCAAGCGATAGGGTGACCGAGATTAGAGTTACCTCCCATATATGAATCTACCACAAGCATTGCTGTGGTGCTCACTTGATCCGACATTTACTTGATTACTGCAAGTTACAACTTCAATCATTGAAACAAGAATAAATAGTTTTATTCATTTAAAGAACATTTCATCTTCAAACTTCATATAGTTTACAGGAAATGTGGTAAATGGTTTTTTGACTTGGCAAATATTCTAGTACCAGAAGAACAGTTTTGTATATGTTATAACCAAACATTACAGACACTGCAATACAGTAAAGCAGGAGAAAATATGATGTTTAAATCAACCAGTCAATAAATTAAATCAACTTTTAGATTTTTATCAATGTGGCATGACTTCAACTTTTTATTTTCTTTAATTACAAATGAAATTTTGATAGATGCAGTGTGCTGCAACTATACATAGGTATAGTACCTTGTTCCAGTCTGATTCCTCAATTTCTATGATCAAAAAGCTACTTTTTTTAAGCTTTGTCTTTTCCAAATTATCATAGCTATACTACGGCAAATTTTTTCATTAATATTCATTATCATTATTATTTTCACCTGCCTCACGTCTTTGGATAGAGGATGTTTTTCACACAACTCCAAATATTTAACGTCACTAGATTATTTGATTGGTAGTAAAACTTATTTTCATGGTGTTATGTAATGACACTAAATTTCTCTCACATAGTGCAAACTGATGTAAGGGTCACAGAAGAAAGGTTATTAGCAGGAATTATTGAAAGGAATTTAGGTTACTCAGCTTGTATTCATTAACACACAATCAGCAGTTAGACACTGTACATTGATATAAAGGCATAGAACTAGCTGATCTTCATACATAGGTTTCTCTTCAAATCCTTCCTTTTGTGTTTTTCTAAGTAACTTAAGAGTTGTGAAATTTTGCTTTAATAGGGCAGTGTGTCATAAAATTTATTTTATGTTACGTGAGTAAAGATTAATGGGAAAAGTGAGTTTTTCATTTTTTCACATTTGGATAACAATTTCAATGCAAAAATGAACAGTTACTTGCATGTGTATGCCAATGCTAAGAAACATTAATAAATTATTCAGGTATTGTAGTATTATTCTATGTCATAAGACATCTTCAGTTAAAGACATTCTCCAAGTCATTATCGTTCAGCCCCAAAGAAACACTTGAAGACTGTTGATCAAGCTAAAAGAACATTTTCCTTATGGGAACAAGAAAGCAACTGTAATCACATGTACACCTCAAAGTAGCCTGATTATTACATCATAATATTAACAATAACTGTTAAAATTGACTCTGTAATCGTTGTAATGCTTCTCGCTATATAGTGATATGACATGAATGAAGGCCACCCTCCTATTGTTATTGTATAACACAATAGACTGGATTATACTGTGTTTTTAAATGCCTTAGTGAAAAAAGTCTGTTTAAGATATGGTTCTAATATCAATCTTATGATCTTACAATAAATGTTGTAATTTTGCATTTAGTTCGTGAGAAAAGAATTTATGATAAGTAACGAAAACTAAATTTTCATTGAGGTTTGCTTTGGTTTCAGAAAGACTGAAACAATGGGCTGTTCAATGATAGTAATTTTTTAGTGATTTCAGAAAGACTGAAACAATGGGCTGTTCCATGATGGTAAGTTTTTAGTGGTTTCTGAAAGACTGAAACAATGGGCTGTTCCATGATGGTATTTTTTTATTGGTTTCTGAAAGACTGAAACAATGGGCTGTTCCATGATGGTAATTTTTTAGTGATTTTAGAAAGACTGAAAGAATGGGCTGTTCCATGATGGTAATTTTCAGTGGTTTCAGAAAGACTAAAACAATGGGCTGTTCCATGATGGTAAGTTTTTAGTGGTTTTAGAAAGACTGAAACAATGGGCTGTTCCATGATGGTAATTTTTTAGTGGTTT